ATCTCTCATGAGGATTTGAGGTCTCATTGGAGAGTTTTGTCAAGAATGCTTTGAATTCTTTCATAGAATTCTTGCTTGGTTTTCTTCTGTGTTGTTGGTTGGAGCATAACACTGGATGAATGTTGTCTTCCTTTGCTTTCAGTTGTATCTCGTGGTTATGACACTGGTTCCAACTCAGTCATGGCCTTTGTTGCATCTGTCGACATCAGGATGGCTATTTCTTCTGTGTGGGGGTGGTTTTCATCCTCATGTCCCGAGTAGATGATGTTTTCTCTTGTGTTTAATCTGATTTGCCTGCTCCATTCCACATGGTCTAACAGAGTCGAAGCAGCTTCATATTTTATTGTCTCATCTCTTTGACCGCTTGTGCTGATTTTCCAGTCTCATAGAGAGCTCTGATGTTTCAAGTCCCAATCCTGGTGTTTGCTTTCATCAAAAGTAGATTAGTTGGTGATCTAGCTTTCCACAGGCTTTCACCAAAATGCGTCATGAGACCCTCCAAAAAAAAAAGATCTTCCAGAGCCTGGTCAGAAGTCTGTGATGCAGTCGTGGTTTCAGATGATGTTTTACAGATCTGGGTTGTTAACCCTGGGCCAAACCTAAATCACAATCTTAAAAGGATCTTTCATTATAAATCAAGTGATTATTCTTTCACATTTGATAACTCCAACATATTTACTGTTTATTATTACAGAATATACTTTACAACAACAGACTTGACAAGCATACTGAAACATTTGCAGACTTACAATGCTACAAACCAGGTTTCGATACCCATAGTGGGTAGAGCACAGATAGCCCATTCTGTAGCTTTGTGCTTAACTTCAAACAAACAAATAAATCAAGTTACATTAATATACTATAACCATCTTAGTTTATAAAATACTGAATTATCTTTCATAAAACTTTTGTACATTATGTTCTTATTACTATTTCAGTTATACAGTTTGAATTTTTATTTTTTAACATTATAGGTAAATAAATACTGAATTTATCACGACACATCGTAATAAAGACATCTCACTACATGAATAAACGAATAAAGAGTTCAAATATGTTCATTATAGTCAAACATAATTGTTTTATGACACCAGTAGTATTATTTGTTCACACTGCATGTTCAATGCATGTGAGATTTCAGCTTGTAGGCTCAGAAAACTAATCCATGGAATGTTTCAAAAGGCATATTTAGAACTTGAAACAGTGTTTCAGTAATGTGTACAATGTATTATCTTTGCACTTAAAAATTATACAAATTGTCAGTTACAAATCAGTGTTTAGACTAAAGACCAAATTTCAGATATAATCACATGTCCAGCTTAGTCTTTTAAGATAAATTACATCCCACGAATAACAGTTTCTAGCAAGCATGTTTGAACATCTAATACAAGTCTCCATTTATATTTTTCTTACATAAAACCCATGTTTCATCATAGCTCAATATGCTATAATTAATATATGTAAGTAAACTCACAGACTTAAGTATCACACATATTGAAAGAGTTGTTAACAAAACATAAAGAAACATTAATACACTATTTACGAAAACATCTTAGTTTATAAAATACTGACCTGTACATGTCTAGCTTAGTCTTTTATGATACATTACTCCCATGAATATCAGTTTCTAACAGGTATGTTTGAACAAATAATACAAGTCTCCATTTATATTTCTTTTATAAAACCCAAAATACTCGTATTAATATATGTAAGTAAAATCACAGACTTAACAAGTATCACATATAATGAAACATTTATTAACAATATTCAAGAATTATATATACTAATATACTATCCACAAAAATATCTTAGTTTATATAATACTGACCTACAGTGCAGTGGAATAATATCTGTGGTATATACTTGTTTGAGCATGTTATTAACCAAATAGAACAAATCCCGAAAAAAAAAGGAAATATAAGGGACATTCCCCAAAGTGATTTCAGCTAATATGATAATAGAACTTTTCTTCATTTTAGAATCTGAGGGTCACGGGTTCGAATCCCCGTCCCACTAAACATTCTCGCCCTATCAGCCATGGGAGTCGTTATAGTGTGATGGTCAATCCGACTATTCGTTGGTAAAAGTGTAGCCCAAGAGATGATGGTGATGACTACTTGCCTTCCCTGTAGTCTTTCACTGCTAAATTAGGGACAGCTAACACAGATATCCCTCGCGTAGCTTTGCACAAAAATTCAAAAATAAACAAACATTTAAGAAACTCTACAAACATATCACATGCTTGAAATCCATAACTAATTGGACTATCTTCGTTGTGCTGGAATTTCAAACATTAAACCTCTCCACTACTGCTTAAAACTGATGTGTTTCACCACAGTCTAATATTCTATCATCAATATAGCTAAATAAAATCACAGACTTGCCAAGTATCACACATACTGAAATATTTATTAACAAAACTTCAACTTTGAAAAATACGACTTTATTTATGATTTATCAGAAATAATTTGCACACTTTCTTCTTTTGAAGCTTTTAAGAACCAAATCTGTAAATATTTTTGACAAAATATTCATATTTTGTTGCTTCCTATGATAAAAGATATAGTCTTCAAGAAGTATGATATTTTCACATTTAATAATTACACCACGTTTAGTGTTTATCATTACAAAATGTACTTTATATCCAAAGTACGCTGTATGTAAGTCTAACAATAAAGAACAGATTTTGTATGTCACTGAACTTGATAATCAGTAAAAACACGATTTTGTTTTCCACCTTACATTATTATACAGAAAGCTAAATGAACATCTTCCAGATGCGAGGGTACATTAAGACGTTATTTTATGTTTTAATCTAGAACTCACTTATTTGTAGTTTAAAACAACTACTATTGTTTACAAATTTCACTTACCAAAAACTATGCTTAGTCTATCTTCTTCAGGGTATATTTGTTTAGACATATAAAGAAATATTCATATTGCCCATCTTACAATTTGGGTTGTGTTCTTCAAATTTATCCAAGATGCAAGTTCCACTGACAGCTCAATACCCCCATCCACCCCATTATATAGCTTCAGCATTATAGCTCTCCTAGACCTTTTGTTGAAACATTCCCTCCCTTACATGCATCTCCACTCAGACAAACTTCAGGTTTTCGTTTTTTTAGAGCCGTTTGTTGTTCGCATTGTTACCATAAAGAAAACATTTGACAAACGAGAGAAAAATAGGTGCATATTCAGACTTTGTAGGACGTGTAGCTGTTTTGATAGCCCAGAGTTTATTTTATGTTCGTTGGTTTGTTTGGTCAGCAAACACCATAGTCCTCGTCACTCGTTAGACAGTATTAGCTAGATACTTATTATTGTTTCTCCATGGATACGAAAGGAGCAGTGACAACCAAACACGAAGGGGCCTCTCTAACGTCTGTTGGCTTGCTACATTTCTCCAGTTGAGAAATTAAATTTAGCACAGCAAAATGAAATATAATTTTGTTAAAAAGTCAAGAGCCAATGAAAACAGTTCTGCTACGAGCAACTGAATAAATGACGTATTCTTTATTATATATATATATAAGTAAAAAAATGATCATTTGACTAGAACATTTTTCTCCTTAGAAAATTACAATCATAGCCATCTTAACCTTTCAATCATAGCCATCTTAACCATTCAATCATAGCCATCTTAACCATTATAATTTTAAGTAAAAAGCTGACAAAAACAATGTCTATTTTTAGGTGATTTATGGTATTTTAAGAATAGAAGTCAGGTCGATAAAGACTACCATTTTTGCAAATAAATAATTATTTCAAATATCACCCAAATATGTAAACGATTACAACTCAAAATTTTGTTTCAGCAAAATAGTATGCTTTGTTAATTATATAAAGGCCATATTTATTTACTTTATTTAAAACAAAGTTAGAGAAGGTAGTGGAAAGGCTTTGTTTCTTAAATTCATATACGTTTATATAAATATATGTAAATACCTATGTACGCAGAGAATAAACTAGATGTCAATAATGGCTGGAGACGGCTTGAATGGGTAATGAAGAAAAACTTTAATATAAGTTTAACATAACAGCAA